GATGGCAAAGATTAACGAGGACTGCAAATGACGAACTTGAAAAACTAGGCTAGTTTTTTCAAGACGCGCAAATCGTGACGTAGCTCCTTTAAAGCAAGCTATGTCCATAAGTTTTCGTACGTAAGTTTTCTCATTAACTGTAACGCCAACTGTAACGCTCACATCTGACTCGAAAATGTAGCTGAGAATTAGCTACTGATACGAACAACAATTTCAAAAACGAGAATGGGAGGTTCACGCTAGCTTCGAGCCAACTAACGTTCAGATATAACTACATCTGCCAGTTCATTACAATTTAAATTCGTCGTAAATTAAGCAGTTATGTGGCTTTTTAAATGACCTCGTCATTCTCTGTAATTAACATGTCATTGCGTCAAATTCGTGATTCTTATTTTCATTTAACATATTTTAGTCTTCCACTTTTATTTTTTATTTATTATTATCTTATAAACGATTTGATTTGGAGGGGAGATTTTTTTTCTTTAAAACTTTTTTTTTTTTTTCTGTGATCCGATCCGTGATCCGATCCTGATCCGATCCGTGATCCGGTCCGTGATCCGATCCGTGATCCGGTCCGGTCCGGTCCGGTCCAGATTTTGTCGACGCCTGGTGAAAGTCTGATAAGAGACACAAGCTCATGCAGACATTGAACCCGACTGGCTGGGTCATGTTCAACATACATCAATACCACTTGTAACAAAATCTTTTCCCTCTCATCTTCGCAAGGAATAAGATCTTCAGCCAAAACACAGATCTCCTCGCTCCTAAGTAATTCTTTGAGGAGTGTGTTTGTGAAGTTTCTTAAGGCATGTCGTTTTGCGACTTCCCTCAAATGTTCCAAAGCGAAGGTATCCGCGATTTGCAAAATCATCAGGCAGGATCTGTCGTCAATACAAGGTTTTAGAAATTCTACGCACGAGTTCTCCACGAACTCAACGCCAAAATAATTGGCCGCGTGTAGCAGAGCGAAACCATTCTCAGCATCAATGCGAATGTTTCCTGTGTAGGCAAACTCGATCAAACAATTCATGATACTTCCATCGAAACTACGTAGTTCTACTTCATCGTTGTTCGCCTCAATAAATTGACTACCGAACAACGAATCAAAATAGCGACTTGCCGTCGCGAGCACAACCCGGTGAACTAGAATCTTCTGCTCGTCGCTGATTTTAAGGGCAACATCGCAGTATTTTTGCTCTTTGTAGAAACCATAAAGTCCTTTAAGTAAGGTTGAGCTATGGTTGGAATCCCTTACGTCCAAACGCGAGTATTTTGCAAAAAAGCACCCTTGAAATTCTGGAGCTGCGAACTAACTTCCGCCATCATTACAAATAATTTCGTGCACGATACATAGCGTATGATTTTTTCTATTGCATAGTAGCTGACAATCTCCGGGCTCAGCCCGGACTCAAGGAGACTGGGTAGAGTTAGTGGTAATGAAAACATCAAGATGGCGGACGAGCGAGATCCAGCTGAGAGAGTGCGAAAACTTGTTCAGTTTGCTGGTCAAGTAGAGGTTGATAATAGCATAGCACCCAAAAAATACTTTAGATCAGGTGTGGAGATGGAAAGAATGGTAAGTATCAACTCATCTGTGCAAGTACTGCTAGGTAAAAAAGGGTCGAAACTGGTGCTGATGATTGTCCCGATCGAGATCGAACGATTCAGAACGACCAATTCAACATTCACATCCAGCTTGTCGTGCAGCATAACCTACGTATGTGTTTAATTTCCATCAGTAGCCTAAGGTATGAGGATTGCAAAAAGTATAGTTTCCTTTTCGCTTTGGTGCTCTACCGTTATTCCCGTGAACTAATAAGTGATGTCATCTTCCAAATAAAGAAATGAACACATCTGTATTGAGCATATCCAGATACAGCGTGTTTTTACTCTCTCCCATTTGGGAGATCTGCTGATTACAGAAAAACTCGTAGCCTACTAAACTAGCATTTTTTGTGAGCTTGGACTTTGTTTCTGTAAAAGAGGAGATCATTATTTTATAGGGTTTGCAGTATTGCAGTATTGGGCAATTTTTCATGTGGCATTTCAGTAATTTTCAAATTGAATTGTGGCATTTCAAGGTTTTCCAACCCTGTGAGATGCATTTTTGTAGTATTTTGGTTGATGATAGTTTCTTTTAATTTTTTTTTTAATATTATCTTTTATTTGTATACAATACAGCCAGTACATAGCTTACACTACTGATACTTGTGCAACTAACATACAGTGAGACCTGTATTAAGCGGACACCCTTGGGGTCTGTCATTAGTGTCTGTTAAATGCAGGGTATCCACTCAAAACAGGTTCTAATATGTTGTGCAATAATAGTTAATTATTAACCCTCTCGTAACACAGTGTAACACAGTTTGAGATCAAAGACTGCTCATACATGTAGCATAATGTCCAGTCAGTCAATGCGTCAATCTGGAATAATCACTTAGCTTTAAAATGACATCGCTGAACAATGTTAAAGGAGTCTCAGCTGAACCTCTAGAGGTAAAATGCCCTTGAAGTGTCTGCTTATTGCAGGTTTTGTGCAACAAGCCGCGTCCACTAGAAAGAGGTGTCTGCTGACTGCAGGTTTATTTCACAGTGAATGTGGGAAGAAAATTTAGGGACTCAAGCTGGTGTCCGCTTAATAGAGGGTGTCCACTTATTATGGGGTCCACTTAATACAGGTTTCACTGTATAGTTGATAGTTGGTTACTTCCATGTTTTTCCCGACCATTTTTTGGGTTTCTGGTCATTTTAATGATAAGGTGGAACAGCACTATTCCATGATGGGAGTTTATGTGTAATGTGATAGCAAATGATTATGTTTAAATAGGTTTGGTTAAGGTGGCTCAATAGGGTGATGATTTATCACATTCCACACTCTAGTGTTATGTTTTAAAAGCTGTTTTTGCATTTGTTTAAACAATCAGTCCTCTCAAACTTATTATATGTAATAAGCAATGATGATATATTGATTTACTATCATCTCAGTTAAAATCTTGGCTTTCAATCTTGAATTATTAAATGCCCAAACAAATGTGTTTTTTACCGTTTTTATGGTGTTAATTGTGATTTTTTTTAATTTCCTTCGATGAAATCTTCTAAAAATCTGGCAGGATGTGAATTTTAAACATGAAATAAAGTAGGGTTTGTAAAGACAGTTTTTAGATTTTTGCAACTTTATGTTTTGTAGCGCTGTGAAAAAAGGGTCAGATAGATTTCCCTGAAAAATGAGCTCCAACTACAGTAAAGTATTTATTACAAGTACCCGCCTACCAAATTTTATGGAAATATTTCACCAAAGGGAACACGAGAAAATTCACTGTCAGTTTTTCTTTTTGTGCTCATGTTGACATCATAAAATATTGAAAAACACTGACGTTTGAGGTTTCACTCTAAGTGCACATCCGATTGTAAAACTATAGGGAGCCCCCTTAAATTACAATTTGATTGTTCCAACAACCAGTTAAAAGTTATGTTATTGTTTTTGTGGCTCCAACACACGTTATGTACATGACATTTGCCCTGGTGACAATGAAACCACCAGCTATGCAGGCTAAGCTTCCATCTGTACTGGGCTGATAAAATTTGTTGTGCTCTGACAAAGATTACAACAAATCTTGTCTCCACCAAATTTTCATGTTGGTCAATGTGTCATGAAATGAAAAATAATTTCTGCTTATTTGCAAAGCTTTTCATAATAAAAAGTAATGGCATTTTTCATTTTGGAATGTCTTCTTTACTTTATTTCACTTCATTTCACTTCACTTCACTTCACTTCACTTCACTTCACTTCACTTCACTTCACTTCACTTCACTTCACTTCACTTCACTTCACTTCACTTCACTTCACTTCACTTCACTTCACTTCACTTGAACATGTACTAGGAAACTCTAAAATCATCAAATATTTGCCTTAATGATGGTATTATCTGTAAAATCATCAGAGAAGGTTACTATGGTCAGTGTAATATAAATGTTTACGCATGATTGTTTATTTAATATGTTTCCTTTCTTATCCCAAACTTAGGCAAAGATTTACCATGATGAGGGAAATTTGGAAAGTGCATTCATTTTATATTCAAAATTCATCACGTAAGTAGAGCATTGAAACATTTAGTTCCATGAAAATGTGATGAGTCACATGATTTACAATCTCTCTCTTTAATTACTTTGATATTGTGATGTCCTGTTAGGTTGTTTGTTGAAAAGCTTCCTGCACATCCAGAATATGCCAAGACAGCACCAGTGGATAAAGCAACGAACAAAAAGGTAAAACCCAACAGGAATAAGAAGCTTGAAAGAAGATCAAAACGGGCAAGTCAAGTTATGATATGACCATTCCAACCAAGGCCACCCATTGAAAATAAAATTATTCGCAAATTTACAAATCTTTTTGAGGAGTTAGCATGATAAAAATTGCCACAAATGTATTGCTCCAGACCCTTATTGTGCAACCTCCTTAGAGCGATTACATGTGTGCATTGGACATCTTTTTCAATATAGGAGTATTTCATTTGTCTATTTAGTATTCAGAATTTGTTCGATGAACTTGGTTTTCAAGAGTGGTTGCTATGTAACTCCTAACTGCATTATAGCTTTGTTTGAAATTTAATTCAAGGAAAATTTAAAATTTGTTAGCTGTAGTGGTAAATCAATCAATCAATCAATCAGTCAGTCAGTCAGACAGTCAGACAGTCAGTCAGTCAGTCAGTCAGTCAGTCAGTCAGTCAATCATTCAATCCTTTATTTGATAATGCAGGTTAAAATATATGTATGACAAAGGCACCCAAAGGCTGATGTGAATCAGGGGTATATATACACATGTATATATTGTAGGTCAAAATGAAATTTAGGTTACCGGTAAATTGAAATTCCTTTGTCTCTTAACCCTACTTAAAATATCATGGATCATGAATAATTAGGGTTAGAAGACAAAGAAAATTGAGAATCAAACTAGTGTAGGTCAAAATGAAATTCAGGTTAAATTGAAATTCCTTTGTCTCTTAACCCTAATTGTTATTCAAGTTCATGAATAATTAGGGTTAGAAGACAAAGGAAATTGAGAATCAACCTAGGTTTAAATCATTTTAACCTGAATTTCATTTTGACCAACAACATATATACAGTGATTATACAAAATATAAAGATCAAATATATAAAAATGTACAATCATTATGGGACAATCACAGTTTCCTTATAACCAATTTTTCTTATATAGACACGAGTTTTAATGGAAAGTACATCGCTCGTAAAATTCATACAGAATGACATCCGGGACTCGAGTGGCATATTTTCCATATCCTCAATAGTGAAGATATTGATGATTTCACTGATATCAAGTTTGTCTCTTAAATTGTTCTGAAATTCGTTGGTGTATCATCGAAACATCCTCAGGTGTTCCTCGAAAGTCTTCGGCAAACTTCCGTAATCTTCAGTAATCTTCGCAAGTCTTTGGAAATCTTCGGTAATCTTTGGAAATTTTCAGAAAATGTTCGGCAACATTCGTGTGACCTTTGGACAAGTTTTGGAGAATCTTTGGAAATCTTTGGAAAGTGGTTGGAAATCTTCAGGAAATCGTCAAAAACACCATCATCAGTTTGTCTATACAATAAAAAGAACATTACACGTTGGCTCGGAGATATGAATTTTATGTTCTCGTGGCAAGAACACTTCTTCCCACTCAAACATAAAATTGTTATCATCTCGCTACCATGTAATATCCTTTATGTATCCATGTCTTGATCCTTCAGAGCCTCAGAAGGGTATTCAGCATGGCGGAGGAACTCAAAGGAATTTTAAAAGAAAGATATCAACAAGAATACCAACAGTTCATCGCTGAAGAGGCCAGAAAGGTAATAAACAGACAGAAATACTTAATCTTTCTTTACTAGTTAATAAATAAGTTTTTTATTTCAATTCTAAGTTTTATGATACTTTGTTATGGAGGTGTGTAGAAAATGTAAGGAGGGTGGGAAATGTACATGAGGAGGGAAGTGCTAAACAGGAAGCTCAATTACTATTCTTTTTTAAATCGTGAAATGTAAAATTCTTACAATAAATCAATTTGCTTAGAAAAGTCTGTGGTATGTTTGTGGTTGTTTTGTCAAATTGTGAGCATCACACAGTGATCATCAATTAAAGAAAGTTTGTTTAAAAGCACACAGAAACCAGCTTCATGGTGACAAAGGTATTGTGATAGAGTCTCTATAAACACAACTTGTACTTCTGTTTTATAGAAAGAAGAAGAAGAAGCCAGAAGGAAAGAATTTGAGAGAAGGGAAGCTGAAGAAAGAGCACGGAGAGAACAGGAAGCCCAAAAAATAGCGCAACACCAGAGTAGTGTGTCAACGCATCATGCCGAGATCCCAAGGGTCATTCCTAGTGCCCCTCCATTAATTGGCGATTATCCTGCCCCACCAACTGGCCGTAATGAGTCAACAGTGGGTAGTAATCAACGTGAACATGGAGCCCCAAGTGAACAGACGCACAGTACTATGCCACGGCCACCTAGCTACTCCTCGCTGTTTTCTGTGCCCACTCCAAGGTATAGGAAAGGCATTTGAGGTGGTTTTGAGTGTTAATTAAAGTGGCAGTTTAATGGCAGTTACTGATTGTGTTCTTGGACACAATGTGATATTGATTTAGACAAGATCTTGCAATCACAACTTGAAATAGGGCTGCTAAATAGTCCTTAAAGCATTAAGTACTTTGTCAAATTTCATAGGCCTCACCATCAATGTTCTTGTTGAGTCTTCCATTCTTTTTCAAGGCTCAGAAATTGTCAGGCTATCAGAAAATGTGTTTATTAAGTCTCGTCATCTCACAAGGTCCTCCACTAACTTTTTACTTAATACCCATTAATAGTATGCTCTTGCTAAGCAATTATCATGATTGGTGTTTTTTCCAGTACCCCATCAGTTGACAGGTCAACTAAACCAGTCATGGCTGCAGGTGGGTATGGTGGTTTACCATATTTTGTTGTATATAAAAGTTGATATGAAGCGTATCATTCACAGAATAACTGCATATTCCCCTCCTATCCAAAAATTCAAGTCCAGCAGTACTAGAATCAGATAGAACTTAATGCTTTCAGACTTAAGCCTGGTTGCATGCCGAAAGATGGTACCATTATACTTTATTGGTGGTGCACACTGTCTGTGATGTGGGCTAAAGACGGGTTTCATTAAATAACTTTGTCAACAGGAAGGCAACTGGTTTTTGCAGACTGAAAAAACTTTTTTACAAGAGAAAAACATTTCCCTAGATTCTCAAACCAGGTGGGCAAATCATCCTAATACAATTTGTGAATATTCCTAGTCCAGCCCTTAGTGAAACCTCTGGCTAAAGATTGCTGAAAAATGGCTGCTATGCGCATAACACTAAAATTGAATTACAGTAATGTTCTTAGCCGCTCTTTCTCTTTGTTACATAAAGATACAACTCCACATGGACTTAGAAAAGTTCACATTCCTGGTGAGCTTATCAGTCATTTTCTACGACTTGCATCGGACAACACAAGAAAGAACCTTGAGACTTGTGGCATTCTTGCTGGTCGTCTTGTAAGTAGCACAGTTTCTTTTGGTGTCCGAGATAGAAAATCTGCTAGTCAAGAGTATGTAGTGTCAATTAGCAGTTAAGTTTTTAATTTTAAATATTGACTGTAAATGCAAATTGAGCTGTATTTTGATCGAAATATTTTAACAGATTGTGATTCAAATAGTTAGAACTTCTGATCAACAGGTGACTTTCAACTTTTTTATTGTTCAGTCAGTCATTTGTTCAATACCCAACTTTTGTTGCATTTTTGCTGCATGTTTGCTTTACAAACTTGCGAGAAGTTCAAGCAGTCATACTTACAGTTTTTAAAGCTCCCACAAGAGGAGTGTCTCGTCTTGAGATATGAGAGCATTGCCTCTCGAGATGAGAGTCTCGTCTCTCGAGAAGTCTCGTCTCGTCTCGTCTCGCCAGACGAGATTCTCGTCCTGCAAGAGGGTGGTAACTTACTTTTGAGCAGTACTGTGTATGGAACTGATTACTAAAGTTACATACATGTACATGTATGGAATTCCTGTTACTAAGTAATAAAAGTACAACAACATTCCGTTCAGTCTCATTAAATCAAAACTTCGTGTAGGTTAGAAGGTTTTTAATTAGTATTGTTAATCGATTTGTCTTTTATTTATTAGCAAAACAATATGTTCTGCATCACTCATCTGTTGATTCCAAAGCAAACCTCCACTTCAGATTCCTGCACAACTTTGAGTGAAGAAGAACTCTTTGAGTTCCAAGATTCCCACAATCTTATTACATTGGGCTGGATACATGTGAGTATACTGTACACTGTCAGTAGTCCTTTGTTAGGCGTGGCATTGCAGAAAGTCAATACAGTCGTATCTACAGTTCATATACAGTGTTCCAGATAAGTAAGGGGTCTCAGGTCAAAAACCCGAAAAGCTTTTTTTTCCTTCGCCTATAGCAAGTAAACCTTTAGCTTTTCCAGTCACCAAAGTTTCAGTCTCTGAAGTGCCTGATATCCTGAAGAAATTCTTCTCGAAAGAAGCGACTTCGGAGACCGCCATTTTGAACTGTCTTGGCAGCCACGCCGTGTTTATGTGACGTCACCCTATCCGACTCGACTCGAAGGAAGGAGAAAAACCTGCAACTGACTTTGCATCCTTTACAAGGCCGGCAAATTCTATTTTTTTCCAAGCGATTGTCCACTTCACTATCTTCAATGCTATCATTTCGGAGTTTGAAGCATGTTTGGCTCAAAATAATGTGGCTCAAGAGCGACCATAATCCAGAGTGCTAGTTAAAAGGCTTGTCGGAAGCCATTTGGACAAAATCTCTTGGACGGACTGCGGCCTGGCCACTGAATTCTTTTCAAAATGGCGGCAACGATGTCGAATTTTGGGCTTCTTTGGATACGAATTTCATAAGGAAAACCTGTACTTAAGAGGCTGAAATTTCGGTGAGTGGTTAAACTTAGTGCAAGGTTTTTATTAACGTAGACAAAATATATACTCCTTAAGGACACAGGCCAAAGGTTGGAAGAGAGTAAGGCGGCTATCAGAACTAGAGAAGAAAACAACTTCAGAAGGAGTATTCGTGAAGCCTTGGAAATTCTGTGCCAGTCCCCGTCGACGCTCAATCAAGACCGTGGGTGTATAGGGGGATGTTTTGGCACGTGATTTGGTTCACCCAAGCTCACGTGCCAAATAAATTCACGCCATATTCGCTAGAGAAAGAGGCTGTGACAGCGTCGAAAGCTTGTGATCACTAAAACATTGACTCTGCTTCGGAATCTCATTTCTTACTAATTAATTTTTGGAACTTGAGGCTTGTTTTTGTGGAATAAATCTATTGTGATTATCTCTGATTCATAGTGACAAAATAACATTTCTGAAGGAAAAAATTATTTTCAACATCAACAGTTTTAAGGTTTCCTCGGCATCTTCACATGAAAACTAATGGTTTATTATTTTTTTTTTTTTCAGACACACCCATCACAGACCAGCTTCATGTCAAGTGTCGATCTGCACACACACTGCAGTTATCAACTGATCATGCCTGAAGCAATTGCTATTGTCTGTTCTCCAAAGTTTAGCGAGTGAGTATAGTTAAACACAGAGCTCGAAAGAAGTGCCATCCGGTCGTCCGGGATAAGTAGATTTTATTTGGATGTTATTTTCTCATGTACTGATGAAAGTGTTATTATTTTGTAGAACTGGTGTTTTTTCACTGACTCCGGGTTATGGCCTTCAGTTTATTTTGAACTGTAAAAAGCCAGGGTTTCACCCGCACCCTAAAGAGCCTCCGTTATACGAGGTAAGGCTGAGCTAACAACAATCTTTAATATACTTTCCATCCCACAACGCTGACTTTGTTAGACAAAACACTGATCTGCTGAAACTAACGAAACAAACGAACGAAAACCCGACACGTGTTACTACAGTGACAATACCTTACATTAAGGACACTTTTTAGACCATCACGCGGGTCCTACAGCCCTTAACCTACTACTAAGTAACGACACTTGCTGACCAACGTTAAAGACAGGGACGAATCCAACAACAGACAGGGAGCAGTTTACAAGATCAAATT